CCATTGGATTAAAAAAACAAACAAACAACAACAACAACAAAAAATAAACAAACACCACCCCCCAACCCCCTCATCCCAAAACCAACCACAAACCGATGGCCTTCGGGTCACGCAATGCTGACCCCCACCCCCCCACGTTCCCTCCCTCCACTCCCCCAATCCCTCCCCGTGGTCCTGAGCCACCGTCCCCCCGTCCCCAATTAAAAAACAGAATGAAAACGACGAACAAACAGACATAGCCTCGGACGGAACACGGGGACGTACACAGTGTCAGTCACAACTCTCCGCTCCCGGTGCCCAACGCTGTCCCCATCCCTTCTTCTCGGGATGGGGGTGGGTTTTGGGTCCTCGTCCCCACCCATGGCACAGGGTTTGGCCACCCCTCTGCGTCACCGCATCTCGTGGTGATGGGGCCATGTGGCCGTGCAGAGCCACGCGGAGCCCATCCCAATGCGCTCCCCCATTGGATTTGGGCTTTGTGTTTCTACTGGGTGCTGCTGTTCTCTGCCCCAACGCATCCCCGGATGGATGGGTGGGTGGAGGGATGGACAAAGGGATGGATGGGTGGGTGGATGGAGGGATGGATGGATCAATGGATGGATCAATGGAGGGATGGATGGATCAATGGATCAATGGAGGGATGGATGGATCAATGGATCAATGGAGGGATGGATGGATGGAGAGATGGAGGAAGGGATGGATGGGTGGATGGATGGGTGGATGGATGGATGGATGAATAGAGAGATGGATGAATGGGTGAATGGATGGATGGAGGGATGGATGGAGGGATGGATGGATGGATGGATGGAGGGATGGATGGGTGGAGGGATGGATGGAGGGATGGAGGGATAGATGAATGGGTGGAGGGATGGACAAAAGGATGGATGAGGGGATGGATGGGCAGATGGATGGGGAGATGGATGGATGGGTGGAGGGATGGACAGAAGGATGGATGGAGGGATGGGTAAGAGGGATGAGTGGGTGGGTGGACAAAGGGATGGACGGATTGATGGATGGATGGATGGACAGATGGATGGATGGACAGATGGGTGGATGGATGGCAGCATCCAGAGGTGTTCTGGATGGATGGGGAGCGACACAATGGGTACCATCACAATGGGGATCACCGCAACGGGGACATCACAACACTCCTGAGAGTGGCACCTCTGGGATGAGCCCCATGCGGCCCCCCCCACACACACACACCAAGCAGGACACTGCCCTCCCCACCGGCTCAGAGGCGGCAGCAGCCCCCAAAAGGCACTGAAGAGCAGGAGAAGGGCTGCGAGGCCGCGTCCCCCCCTCGTGCTGCTGGGCCCTAAGTGCTGGGGGGGGGAGGCTCTGGGGTTGGGAGGGATCTTGTCCTGGTGAGCGCTTGGGGAGGGGGGGAGAAGTGCTACATATCCCATGCATCCCCCCCCTCCGTCCTCGCTGTCCCTAAGTGCTGCGGATAAGTGCTAGGGACTGGGGACGGGGTCTTCTGTGTGCAACCCCC